GCTGACCAGCCGATCGATCGGCGGGTCGGCAGCCGACCAGTCAAGGGCCGCCGACCGTCGGGGTCGCAACCCTGGGCGTCACTACAAAGTGCTTCCAAAGAGCCCAATGAAGCTTCATACAAGGTAGGTTCATACTAGATAACATAATGACCCTAGCAGAATCAGTGAGGACAATAAAGGACACGAAGATAATGTAGCCATCCCTTTTTTGAAGTTTTTTCGACTCTGAGAAAGCTTATGAACAGGTGAACTGGAAATTTCTGCAACAATATAAGGGAAGAATGGGAGTAGGTCCATAGTTTCGGAAGTGGTTTAAAATTCTCTACAGTGACGCTCATGGAAGGGTTCAGGTTAACGGACGAATGACTAGATCCATTAGGTCGTAGTTCCACACCACTTGAAAATACTTCGGTTTTCAAGGGCGCCCTGAAAAAAAAAGGTGGTTAATTAACCATAACTCAAGTTCTCATTTCACAACCCCTTGAAGCCACCCTTGAAAACGTCGCCCTTGAAACTCAAGTGTTGACGTGGTTGACGACCGTTGCACCAGGTACAGTCATGGTTGGGAGTACAGTCATGGTTGGGAGAAAAGTTCCATGTTTTACGCGTTTCTTAGGGTCCAGCCCTTGAGCTCAAGTGCCCTCCCCGGGCGCGCTTCAAAATTCTTTCGTTTTGACTGGGCGCCCTTGAGTTTTCAAGGGTGGACCCTTGAGAATCGAAATGTGGAAACATTCTCGCCTTCCAAATCGTCATCATTAGGGAGGGGTGGAATGAAGCTTCCTTCAAATTTCAAGATTTTCAGGTGGTGTGGAACGAGGCCCTTAGACAGGATGCCCGTTAATGGAGGCAATAGCATCATTCCTGAGGAAGGACTCGTCCACAAACAGGTTAATAGAGGAACCATGGAAGAAATAAAAGCTCTTATGGATAGATTTTCCTTAATATCAGATATGGTACTTAACTGGGGGAGTAAAACGCAAGAGTGGTGGATTCATTCTAACGGAGATAGACCTCTAGAAATACCTAAAGTGAAATGGCTTCCACATGAGGCCCCTATCAAAGTACTAGGGGTAGTGCTCACAGCACAAGGAAGGCCTATTACTAATGATACATGGATATCTACTCAGGCATTGGAAAAAATGAAACAATGGAAGAATCAACATACATCCTTATTTGGTAGAACTCTTTTAATCAATAATGTGATATTGGCATCTATATGGTACAAGACAGCAATATGGGCTCTAAGCAAGGAATCAGCTAAGGGTCTTATCAAACAGATATCAGCTTTTCTGTGGAGAGGAAACCACGAGTCCCAAAATGTCATACCTAGGGTAGCATGGCATGTTCTGATCCAACCAAAAGACAAAGGGGGGCTAGGTATTATGGATCCCTTACTCCAATGTCAAGCATTGGCGCTAAAAAAGACTGATCATGGAAATAGATCTTCAATGGCAAGTCCTAGCTTTGGAACAAATTCGACGATTGGCACCTCCTACCACAAGAGAAGTTCATCCTCTCATATGGATAGAGGATAGATACTGGAGCATACCCTGGCCACGTCTACAGTCTAAACAGGAAGGAGAGAGAGTGGAGATCAGAAAGGATCTTAATTTAGATAATTTTTGGCCAAGGTTACTAAAAATATGGCGTGAACTCCCCATCCCCAATAAATCTCCTCCTTCTAGATATGAGGAAGTCCTCAGGCAACCCATTTTTGGTAACAGATGGATTACTAACCCAAATGGACAAGTGTTTACGAGTTCTGAGTCTCCTTGGTCCACATGGGTCAAGTCAGGGGTTGTGAGGATTAAGGACCTTTGGGATCCAGCAAGCAAAAATTGGAAATCAACGGCACAATTAAAAAAACAGATTAGATATGCTAGAAACCTTAATGACAATTTGGAGTTGCTACTTACATCTATCCCTCTGGCTTGGATAGTCATTCTTAAAAAGGGATCGGTTTTYTTGGAGGCCGACTGGGTTTGTGCTATTCAGCCAGATGGGGTCCAGGTAATAGGTCAAATAATTAATGTGCATCCAGAAGGAGCTCTGGTTAATATATGTCAGTTCCAGAAGGATTACACAATAGTACAAGGTCAACAAGATAGGGTTTCCTTTTTTCCTTTTAAAATGATGCACAGAATCAGGGTATTGTTTTGTTCGTTGTCTAATGGCTGGAGAGTTTACAATCCACAACGCCCTATCCCCGAGCTCCCTTTTGACCCAGAAGAGTGGATATGGAGAAACAATAGGAGATGTAAACCGCAAAAGCTGCAAACTTTAACAGTCAAGGCATCGTATCGTCTTCTTCGCCCTAGAGTGGATGTTGTTGCTATATTGCAAGAAAGATGGAGCCGACATCTCAACATATACATGGAGTCACTCCGGCATGTTAAGTGGAATAGTGTAGTTAAGGAAAGGCCGACAAAATTTGCATCATTACAATGGCAGATCTCGCATAGGTGCCTCCCAACTAATGATTGGTTAGTTGATCACTCTTCATTAGAACAACGAGGATTGGCTCTTCCTTGGTGTCAATCATGTATCTCTGTCTTTCCAAGTAGAAAAATTAGAGAAACTATCGAGCACATTTTTCTACAGTGTCCAGGATCGCAACTAATGTGGAGACGTTGGGACTATACGTGGAAAAAATTAACAGGTCTGGACTGGCCATGGGAATGGCATGCTTTACTCCTGGGACACTGGATACCAGTAATGTTTACTTTGACCACCTTCCAACAAAACTTGTTCAATATGGGAAGAAAGGCAATCGTATGGGTGTTATGGTATAAAAGGTGTATTTTAACAGGAGGAGGTAAAAATTGAAGGGAATGAAGTAGCTGAATTAATTATACAGTTTATTCAAACTGAAATCAGGGCACATTGGAACAGAACCAAGTCTGAACTGAAAATGCTTACACAAAAAAAGGATATAAAACAAAAAATTACAAAATTTCAAATAAGCTGGCTGGGGGATACTTCAAGGGAGAAACTGGGGGATGTATCTTGGCCAGGTGGAGAAGGGGAGGAAGTCCCACTAAAAAGGGACTATCTGATCACTTTCCGGAACTGGTTTGACATCAGTCCAGGAGCTTCATTGAAATCTCCAGATTTGTTCCCAGATCCCTTCCGGCCATCTAAGTTATCTCTTGTTGATCTAAAATGGTATGGTATTGGAGAATCTTAGAGTTGGCGCAGCTAGTTGCTATTGGATTATCTGGCAGGCTTTCGACTGGCTGGACCACTGCTGTTTTTCCAGTTTTTTCCTGTTCATTCTGATTTGAGAAGCAATGCAAAAAAGAGGAGATAGGGAGGGGGAGGAATTAGCATGTAGTAGCAAGATCTGGCGCCGTTCTCATGGTGAAGAGATTCCTCTACTCTGCTCAGTCAATCCCCTGATCACCAGGGAAATCAATGCTGGCAGATATCTCCCTTGACTCCTTTGATTGTTTCCAGACATGGCTCAAAACTCATTTGTATAAGGGACGCTGGACCCGTTTTCCAGCAGGTGATGCTCCCCACCAATAGATGGAGTTTTTTTATTAAAAAAAAAAAAAAAGAAAAAAAAAAGAATAGGCGGGACAACTGCTGAGTCGTGCTGACACATCCCCAGCATGATTCTTCTCGCTGACGACCTCACCGTACTGACTCAAGCTTCTGCCCGATGATTTGAAACACTCACAAGAGTCATGCAAGCCTTCCAGCTGGCTTCTAAAAGGCGCATCAGTTGGCAGAAGACAATAGGGTGGAGGTTGCCTGTGTCCACCCCAGAGGGTATGGTGTGGGAAAATATAAAAACTCACTACACTTCTTGGGTATACACTGTACAGGTTTCTGATCAGGGGGTAGCGAACAAGGGTTCGTACCTCACGTCATGCCAAGACCGTGCTCCTCAATTCATCATTTTTTTTTCTTGATGTGGTATGTAGTGGCCTTCTGGAAGCTTGAGGAGGATGCTTTCAAAGAACTCGAAGAAAAAGTCTTCAGCTTATTTATGGACAGGCAACCCCTCCACACAGAGCTTTCATAAATAACATCGCCTGGGCACACATAACCCGTAAAGGGCAATGTGGTGGATTAGGAGTGATAGACCCACCTCTCCAAATAAAAATCCTGCGAACAAAATGGATTCTCAAACTGATCTCATGCCCGAGTCTGCCCTGGAACCCACTGGCTTACGGTTTACCGGGCAGTTTTGTTTGGTGATATTTATACACATTCATGTTTAGTAAAGAGCTTCTCTCTCTCTCTCTCTCTCTCTCTCTCTCTCTCTCTCTCTCTCTCTCTCCATGGCTTCCAGAATGACTCGGCAGGGATGCCATTGACTCCGCTGTCGACATGATTGCTGCCAGATGCGTCGAACCCCAGCTGTAATTGCTGTCAGATACATTCTAAACAGTCCTTGTGTGAGTATGCCTTCATTGTTCAAGACCAAAAACTACTATTCTAAGTTTTTTTTTTTTTAAGGACCATTCCATTTTAGCATTTGAGGAGCCAAAATTCCGAAGAGATCATTCAAATTTAATTTACAGCGACAACTGCTGGGAGCATTGCTCCCAGATTTTAATCTGGATAGACTGTGAATGTTCCCAGATTTTAATCCTGATAGACTGGGAATGATTGAAATTTGGCTAAATGCAGATTTAAACCACCAGCACCTCCTTTTCCCATGTCGGATTCCTGCTGCACGCCAACTTCAAAACGAACTGACACAGTGCTCTTTCTTTCCCTTTTTGGCTTGCGGCACCAGCCAAAAACGCGCAGGAGGCCGAGCCCCCGAGCAATTTGGAGGTAGACACATTTGTCGCAAAACTTTGCCTGGGAGAGGTACTTGTGGTTACTACTGGTGAGGGGAAAAAAGAAGGCAAAAACTAATATTCTATAAGAAAAGAAAATAAAGAGATGCAAGTGTTACTGCTCCATGTTACCAATATCGTGATGATGATGATACTATGTGACGGCTTCTTCTTATTCTTATTCTTCTTCTTTTTCTTTGACAGCTTTATGACCTTATGGCGATGGGATTCAAGTTCCAACTTTTGTCCTCTTCTCCTCCAGAAGAAATCATGGAGGTGATTCTTTATCTTCGTTCTCCTTTTCTTCCAT